CACTGAAGCTCAGCACGAGTCTGGCCTTCCCCTCCTCGTGGCAAGACGTGATCTTCGCCAGCGATGCCGCCTCGCCCATCTCCTGCATCGTAGTGTTGTTCTTCTGCTTGTCTAACTCCTTCAGCTGCTGCTGATTGACTCCCCGCCGCGCTTCCCTCCGCGGTCAGACCCTCGAACGCGCTGGCGTAGCTGGCGACCGAGATCGTTCCCATCTCCTGGATCCTGTTCCTCTCCTCGGCCGCGGGCAGGGAAGCGCGATGCCCCCTCCGCGGCGCGAATCCACGCCTTGACCCGGGCATTCGCCTTCACCGCGACCTGCGTGCCCGATGACATCGTGAACGTGCTAAGCTCGATGGGCTCCATACTGCGCTCCCGCATCGCCCTGTTGAGGATGGGCCCCATCACGGCTGGCGAATACTTCTGCATTGCACGCGAATCCATCAGCTCGTCGCCGAGCTCGTTCGCGTCCACGATCTTGGCGCTCTTTTTCTGGATGCCGCCGTCCTCCTGCCGAGAAGTGGCCGCCGCCAACCGTTCCCCCTCGTCTCGTCCTCGGCCCGTGCGCGGTGTCTCGCGGTCGGGCTCTCCTTCGACTGCTGCAGGCAGCGGCTGACGCCACGGCGACATGGGGCGTCGGCTGGGGGCGAGCGGCTGCGGAGTGCTTCTGGAGGGCAGGCAACTCTGCAAACTCGATCGCGCACTCCTCGTCTGGGCAAACAAACTGCTGCGGAAGGACGATTGGGCGATTGAGGGTCGACATATGAGCTACGCACCTGCCGTGTCTATACGCTGCTGCGATGAGACTAATGGCCGTTCTTCTGCAAACAACTGAGGAAGCACATAATGGGCCTTGGTGCGTGACGGTACATTTTGCGAACGCGTTGAGTTGCCCGCGCCTCCCTCCGCCACCGCATGTTTGATGCGCCCGAAGTGCGCGCGCGGTGCGAGATCCTTTCCCGCGCTCGAAGCCCTCCCCTCTGAGGCGCGAGCACTGAAACCCTCCCTCGAAACACTCCTGGTCCTCGCATTGCCCGCCGGGTGGTCGCCGTCGGGGCCTCGAGCCCGATGATGTTTGCCCTTCCGGGGGCCACTCGGGGCCCTCTTGGACCGCCAATCGAGGCCTCGCGGGGCCCTCGTGGCCCGTCGGGGGCCCCGCTGGGGCCCTTCTTGGGCCCTCCTCCCCCTCGTCCATCTCTCCCCCCTCTCCTCCACCGCCTTCTCCTCCTCCTCCTCCTCCTCCTCCTCCTCCTCCTCCTCCTCCTCCTCCTCCTTTTCTTAGCCAGGCCGCCGAGCGCTCTCCCGCTCGTGGCGTCCTCCTCTTCCTCCTCCTTCGCCTCCTCCTCCTCCTGGGAGGAGGGCCCGAGAAGGCCCGCCAGGGAGCACGCGCCGCGCCCCCCCCAGAGAGGTCTCGGGATGCTGGGGCCTGGGATGTTGGGGTCTGGGGTCAGTCGGCCAGGGATGGGGATGGGGATGGGGATCGGTTAACCTGGGGTAAATCGGCCAGGGGCGCGGGGGTGGGGGATGGGGATGGGGAGGGGGGTACATCGGCCAGGGGGGTAGCTTGGCCCATCGGCGAAGCGATGCTCAAGGCCTGCTTGACCTGGGCCGTTCTCCCCGGGAGGAGGCGCGAGGCTCGAGAGAAGACCGGGCCGAGGGCACGAGGGAGCGCCCACGCCGTGCCCGGAGGGCACGCTGGCGGATGGGCCAGGCCAGAGCACCGGAGCGTTCGGATGCCTCGGCGGGAGGGGAGAGGAGGGGGGGGGAGAGAACGGCAGGGGCACAGGGGGGGGTGTCTCTCCCTCTCCTGGGTCTCCTGCTCCAGGAGAGCCCATGGTGGGTGGCGGGCAACAGAGAGAGAGAGAGAGGAGAAAGACACAACAAAACAAAGAGAAAAGACGAGAGAGAGAGAGAGATAGAGATAAAAGAGAGGTAGGGATAGGGGAAGGAGGTGGCGGCGGAGGAGGAGGAGGAGGAGGCGGCAGAGGTACGCGAGAGGAGGAATAAGTTGGGGAGGATGACGAGAAAAGAACGGAGGAGGAGGAGGAAGGCGGGGAGAGGAAGGGGCAGGAGGACGGGGGAAGAGGGACACCGACGAGCAGGACTTGTGGGGCTACGATCTAATGGTGGACTCGGTTCGGGGGCCGCCAAGTTGGGGCATCGTCCCAACGTCGCTTACAAAAAGTTGTGTCGAGCGCTTGGTGAAAGTATCTTGGCGACGGCCCTGACCAGATGCAGCTACGAATTCAGCAGGACAAGTGGGATGGAGGAGGGGGGCAGGCACCGCATGCCGGCCCTGCTGCTGCTGGAGCTGTCTGTTAGGCCACGAAGCGCTTGAGGCGTGAACCGAGGTGGGTGCGGTGGCGCCACGCTGACCCTCCCATGGGGCCTTCAGCGGAGCTGCCTGATGGGCCACGAAAGGTGTGTAAGGTGTGCCGACGTGGGTGCGGTGGCGCCATGCTGACCTTGCCACTGTGGCCTTCTGTGGATTTCGCGGTGTGGCCACTAAACGTGTGAGCGGTGTGCCGACATGGGTGCGGTGGTGCCATGTGGACCATGCCGCCGGGGCGTTCGGTTGAGCTTCCTGTGGGGCCACGAAAGGTGTGAACTGCTGTGTGCCGACATTGGTGCGGTCGCGCCATGTGGACCTTGCCGTTGGGGCCTTCTGTGGAGTTCGTTGTGGGGCCACGAAACGTGTGAGGGGTGCGAAATGGGTGCGGTGGGGCCACTGACCCTCCCATCGGGGGCCATCTTGGCCGTCTTGCGATTGGGGCAACCAGAGAAGTTTTTATATGGCTTTCCAGGTGGCTGGCGCGAACGGCCGAGACACCAATGGCTATCCTTAACAAAGACCAACATGACCTAAATTTTGGCACGCCGTGCACCCCTGTGGCGAGCCACAAGGGGCGGCATATCTAGAGGACGTCGACCCATCCCACCACCCTTACTGAGCTGTAGGTCAGAGGCCTCGTGGACGTCTGTGGAGATCTCCTTGCGAGGCCTCTAAAGCCTGGTTTGGGGTGTATGTGTGGCTTCTTGGGGGCTTCTTGGGGGCCTGTTTGGACTTCATCTGGGGCCTTCCGGAGCATCCAGGGGGTCTCTTGGGTCCTGCTGGCAGTCTCGGGGGTCATCTTGTGGCGGAGGGCTCGAAATGTCAGTTCGTGGTCCCCCTTTGGGCCTCTCTTGGGTCCATCTTGGGCTCCTCGTGGTGGGCCGTCTTGGGCTGTGTGAGGGCCCTTTTAGGTGACTATTGGGTCGTCTTGTTGCGGTCTTGGGAGCCTCTTGGGCCGTCTTGGAGCGTCGAAGTCGAGAAATGACAAGAGCGCACACATCGGTATAGACAATGCATATTTGGACGTTTTGTGCGCTTCCAGGGGCGTCTCGAGGCCATCTTGGTGTACCTTGACGGGACTCCATAAAGCTCAACTAGAGCAATCCATACAGAGAACTTGAAGGGACCTGAGGACGCTCCACCTCTTGCTTCGAGTCACGGTGGCGGATATGCAGTCATATATATATATATGAGAACATATGTTTATACACTTAAAGATAGATGCATACATGTGCATCAACATGTACATATGCATATATTTTACCTATACGACCACCCTGCGGGTGATAAGGAGGTTGGGGGGGGGAGGGGCCCAGCAATGGGCAACAGTGGAGAATGTTGTTGTGACAATGCCAGTGGAGATAGTTGCGTTGCCGCTCGCTCTTGGGAGCGTTGGTGTCGAGTTGTTTACGATCTCACAATCGATATCACTATCCACGTCGTCATCATCATCATCGACATCACCATCAACATCATCATTATCATCAGCATCATCATCGTATTCATCATGATCATCAGCATCACCATCATCATCATCATCATCATCATCATCATCATCATCATCAATGTCGTCATCATAATCACAAACATCAACACCATGAAGGCCATCATCACCATCAGCATCGCACAATCGATCTCACATTCGGTCTCACTACCGATATCACAATCGATCTCGCAATCGACGTCATCATCATCATCATCATCATCATCATCATCATCATCATCATCATCATCATCATCATCATCATCATCATCATCATCATCAACATCAACATCATCATCACTATCACCATCATCATCATCATCACCATCATCATCATAATCATCATCATAATCATCATCAACATCATCATCGGGACACCGACGGGACACGGACGGGACACCGGCGGGACATCGGCGGGACACCGCGCCGCCCCGGCCGCCCGGAAGGGAATCAGTTGGTCCGGCCGCGCCTCAGCCACACGGGACACCGGCGGGACACCGGCGGGACACCGCGGGCCCCCGGCCGCCCGGAAGGGAGTCATTTGGCCGGCCGCGCCTCAGCCACACGGGACACCAGCGGGACACCGGCGGGACACCGCGGGCCCCCGGCCGCCCGGAAGGGAGTCATTTGGTCCGGCCGCGCCTCAGCCACAGGAGACTTTCTCTCGCCCGCCCACGCAGCTTCGCCTCGCCCGCACGGCACGCACGAACACGAAACCGAAATCGATTTCCCGGTAGGGGGGCTCTCCGTTCCCTGTCGATCTCACCCCCCAACCTCCGATGAGGGTAAAGCGTGTGCCCCTACCAGATGGGATGGCTCCCTGAGTACCTCTGGCTCCTCAGATGGGACGGGGGGCTCGCGCACGCAGGCGCACGAGCAGAGCGCATGCGTGCAAGCGAGCGCGCGCGCACCTAGCACAATGCGCGCACGCGGGCAATTCGGAGGTCCGCATGTGAGCGCGCTCGCAAGCTCACGCTGACGAACTCAAGCACGCGCGCTCGCCCACATGGACGGATGCACGCCAGCACGCATGCCGCCTTTGCGTATTACTTGCAGAACGCGTGCGCGTATTATATACAGGTGTCCTCAGGTTCTCCCTCCAACTTCTGTCCGCTCCCATCAGCATCGATATTTTCATTCTGAGATTGTTTCTGCCTCCGCCAGAGCCCGAGCCGGCTCCCCGGCAAGGTGACCCAGAATTCTAACAACATGCAGCGACTCTTGCAGACAATCCACTACCACATATCCGAGATGAACGCGATCAACCTGGTCCGCTGCCAGTCTCTGTTGGAAATTGGCAACGCCGCACGGCAAAACTCTTGCCAGTTCGATCGTTGTTGGACTGGTGCGTGGGCCCCAGGGCCGGGAAGTCGTAGACTTGCGTCCATAGTGGGTTCGGCCAGGGTTGATGGTTTTGTTGCCGATTTCGAGTCCGATGACTCTAGGTCTCCCACACGGGGTCCGAGAAAAGAGGGTCCTAGGATCGCGCCGCATCACCGATGCATCGGCGACGTCAGCGATGCATTGGCGACGTCGGCGTGGATAAAAATCTGGCTCCACATCGAGCCGCATCCCCGATGCATCGGCGATGCATTGGCGATGCGTTGGCGATGCGGCGCGATCCTCCGACCCCTCCTGCTCGGACCCCTTCTGGGATGCCTCCAGCGACAGCGTCGGGCACACGGCTCTGGAGAGGGGAGAGGTGCTGTGGGTTCGCGCTGAGCAGATCCAGCAGAGACGACGTGCTCCGGGGCGGCCTGCCGCTCTTCCTGCCGTTGCGGGAAAGCCCGGCGCGCGGCCGTTCCGCCGACCCGAGCCGCACAGCGCAGGGGCGGCTGCTCTAAGCAGGAGGTCCACACGCAGCGTGAGACGCCTTTGGAATACGGCAGCCCTGCAACCCTAGAAGATTTCTGAGCTCCGCGCGGGTTGCTTGGATCGGCGCTGGCCTCCGAGCGGCGCTTCGGGCGCTGCCCCCACCCTCTGGTGACCCCACCCTCCGGTAACCAGTATATCTTTTAATCAAGATGCTCTTCTGGGGCTCGCACCTTGTTCTTTACAAGGGAAAGTGAGGTGTCATCAAATTGGGCCCCCGGCTCCCGAGTTACACCAGCAACGGCTCCCGCCTAAGATTTCTTCACAATGCATTCCAGCATCGCACTCTCGCGCGGGATTCGTTCATTATTTATGCAGGGGTCGCGCGATCGCGTGGGACTTCCTTGCAATCTCGCGCCGCGCCCTCGACACTCAGGAATCACGCTCCCGCTGTGGATTTCTCATCATTTACTTGGGAATCTCACTATCGCCCGAGACTTCCTTGCGATTCATGCAGGGCGCACGCTTCAGCAACCCGCCTGCTCGACCTGGCCGCCTGGGCCCGCCTTCCCGACCGCCCGTGAGGGGCTACCAACCCAAAGTTGCCCGTATGGTTCTGCCACGTTATCTGCTCCATAGCCCCCCATCCTGCTACTTTTTCTCGTGCTCCATCCAAATCCCACCCCCTTGTCCCTTCCATCCATTCGTTCTCTCGGCTGCACGAAATACAGCCTGTGGGTAAGAAAGATATAATACCCCCAAGGGGTTGCGATTGAAGACGAAGAGGTCGGGCATCGAGGGTTTGGGATATACGTGTTGAATGTCACTCCAGTAGATAAGAGCGAGCAGTCTTGAAACGATCGTTGTTGTTGCTGCTGATGTTGCTGTTGTTGTTGATGTTGTTGTGGCTGTTGTTGATTGTGTTGGTATTGTTGCTTGTGTGGTTGTTGTTGGTTTGTTTTGTTGTTGTTGTTGTTGGATCATGTTGGTTTTCTACGAGAGTTTGTGGCTGGCCTCAAGGAACACCTGGACGGGTGGTCCTTGCTCAAACATTTTTGCGTTCGCGGGTAAGCACCCGTGTTTGTGGACAGTGGCAGGGACCAATTTCTCTCGCCGTCTGGTGGTCGCGCGCACTTCGCGGTGCTCACAGGCATGCTGTCATGTTTTGGTGCTAGTGGTGCTCGTGTGGTATACCTATACGACCACTCTTCGGGTGATAAGGAGGTTCGGGGGTGGGGAGGATGCAGCGTCTCACTCGATCGGTCTCACTATCCATCTCACTATCGGTCTCGCTCGATCGATCTCACTTGATCGATCTCACAATCGATCTCACTCGATATATCTCGTTCGCTCGGTCTCACAATTGATCTGATTATCGATCTCACAATCGATCTCACATTCGGTCTCACTATCGATCTCACTACCGATATCACAATCGATCTAACATTCAACGTCATCATCATCATCACCAACACCATCATTTTCATCGTCATCGGGTCACTGTCGTCATCATCATCATCATCGTCATCATCATCAACGCCATCATCATCAGGCCATCATCATCATCCCCATCATCATCTCATCATAGTCAGCAACATCATCATCATCATCATCATCATCGGCACACAGCCTTCGTCGTCATCACCATCAGCATCATCATCATCATCGGGACACCATCATGGTCACCATCATTGTCATCGTCAACATCATCAACAACATCGGGACACCATCATCATCATCATCATTTAATCATCATCATCATAATCAACAGCATCATCAAAATCATCGGGACACCATTATCATCAGCAGCATCATCGTCACCAACATCATCATCAATATCATCATCGGTACACCATCACCAGCGCCATCATCATCACCACCGTCATGATCATCATCATCGTGATACCATAATCATCATCAGCAGCATCAGCATTACCAACGTCATCATCAACAACAACGGGCAGAAACATCAATGTCATCGTCATCTCATCATCATCAACAACATCATCAACATCACCAGCGGGACACAGCCATCGTCATCATCACCATCAGCATCATCATCATCGGGACACCATCATGGTCACCATCGTTGTCATCGTCAACATCATCAACAACATCGGGGCACCATCATCATCAGCTCATTATCATCATCATCATCATCATCATCAACAGCATCATCAACATCATCGGGACACCATCATCATCAGCAGCATCATCATCACCAACATCATCATCAATATCATCATCGGTACACCATCACCAGCACCATCATCATCACCACCGTCATAATCATCATCATCGGGATACCAGAATCATCAGCAGCATCAGCATTACCAACATCATCATCAACAACAACGGGCAGAACATCAACATCATCGTCATCTCATCATCATCATCAACATCATCATCATCATCATCATCATCATCATCATCATCACCAGGACACCATCATCGTCATCATCATCACCATCAACACAACCATCATGATCATCATAAACATCATCATTATCGGGACACCGACGGGGCACCGACGGGACACCGGCGGGAGACCGCGGGCCCCCGGCCGCCCGGAAGGGAGTCATTTGGTCCGGCCGCGCCTCAGCCACACGGGACACCAGCGGGACACCGGCGGGACACCGCGGGCCCCCGGCTGCCTGGAAGGGAGACATTTGGTCCGGCCGCGCCTCAGCCACAGGAGACTTTCTCTCGCCCGCCCACGCAGCTTCGCCTCGCCCGCACGGCACGCACGAACACGGAACCGAAATCGATTTCCCGGTAGGGGGGCTCTCCGTTCCACTTCGATCTCACACCCCAACCTCCGATTGTCGTGCCCCCGGAGGTCTCAGAGGAAGAAACAGCACCCATACCGCTACCCTTCCCTCGTTTTCCCTTTCTTCGGCCTCCTGGTCGGGTGCCCTGGTTGTCACCGCTGGATTCGCTTCGAAATTCGGATCAGAGCGCACACCTGTATCGGTACCTCTGCTATTACCCGACGTCGGCTGAGTTGGAGCCAGCTGTGACCGGGCGCCTGCTGCGGCGAGCGCCGCCGCCGCCGCCGCCTCCAGGGGCCCAGAGATCCGGCGGTTGGTCTCGCAAGTTCTTTCAGCACCGATGACGACATGTGATTTCCCCGAGAGCCTCTGATACCCCCCTTCATTTGGCCGTGTGGCCCAAATGCGGGCAGTTTCAAGGATGCCGCCGCCGCCGCCGTCGTCGTCATTGTCGTCTCCCTCCACCTCCTCCCTGTCGTCCCCCTCTCGTTTCTTCTTCTCGCCCCTGTTCCTCCTTCTTTCTCATGGTCATCCTTCTTCTCATCGTCATCTTCCTCCTCCCTCTCCTGCTCGACCTGCTCCTCTCGCTTGTTCTCATCCTCATCCTCCTCCTCTTCGTCTTCAGCAGGGGACGGGAGCATTAGCGTTCGGCTCTATGGCCTGACCGTTGGGGCCCTCATCCCTCCTCCTGCTTCTGCTCCTCTTCCTGCTCCTCCTCCTCCTCGTCCTCCTCCACCTCCTCCTCCTCCTCCTCCTCCTCCTCCTCCTCCTCCTCCTCCTCTCTCTTCCCTTTGTGCTGCGCAAGATGACCAGCACGTCATCCTCCTGCACGGTCTCAAGGCGCCCTCGTCCTGCTCCTTTTCTCCTCCTGCTCCTCCTCCTCTTCCTCTTCCTCCTCTCTCGCGGGATTGTGGCACGGGTAGGGTCCAGCATGCTGTTGCGCACACATGAGGCGCTCGAAGGCGATTGCAGTCCTCGCATGGTCCAGTTCCCCTCGCCTTTTCGTCGTCTTGAGCACTGTGGTGCTCACCCGCGCTCTTGTGGTGTTCGCAGACTACCGAGATGCTCAAGCGAGAGCTGTGTCGTCCGCAACCACACTTGCAGCGCCTGCAGACCACAGCGGCAGGTAGTGGGACGGGGCGCACGGCGCGCGCGAGCGCCGCGCTGACCGTTGCTCTGGGCTGAGCTTCTGCATTGGCGCGGCGCCCTTCTTCGCTCGCCAACTCGCTTGCCAATGACGTTCGCGGAGGCAACGCCCCCCCACCATCCCGCTGCCGCGCACTCCCCTGTGCTGGCTGGGGTCGTGGGGGCCCTCCCCTCCCCCCCCTAATTCGGTGCAGGTGGCCTGTCCTGGACACGGCGCGTCGGAGCCCGCTCGCTCGGTCAGCGCCCGCCGGACAACAACAAAAAAAAGATTGGGGCGCGCGCGAGCGGGTGGAATGCGGTTTTCGCGGGAGCGCCGCTCAGGTCTCGCCGGAAAGCGGCGTGAACGGGCGAATCGTCGCTCCTGCGAAAGTTTCGCGCGGAGCTCGTGTGAAAGTGGCGTTCGCGCTCTGACGCAGCGCGGATGTTCTGTTCGCTCAGTCGCCTGAGAGCGGTGCGCAGATTTTGCACGAATGTGGCGGTGCTGTTTCGCCGCGGTGCATGGTCTGTTGCCAGTCTCATCAGAAATTCACCCGCGCGCGG